GCAACAGAACATGAGAAATCAATCCAATAGCTCCTAGATGATGCAAAGAAGACTAACCTAATATTAATTGCAGTAAGTAAAAAATAAGAAGATAGCACAAATGACATTTTAAAAACTTATTTACTAAAATAATAGCAGAAAACTTTCCAAATAAGGGAAAAGAATTTAACATACAGATAAGTGAGGTATATAAAACCCTAAATAGCCACAATCAGAAAAGAATATCTCCACAAAACATCATGTCTAATGCAAGAACAGAATCTTTAAAATGGTGAGAAAAAAACACAATGAACCACTTATAAAGTTAAACCCAATAGAATTACAGCAGACACAATTCTCAAAGGCCAGGAGATGTTGGAGTGAAGTGTTTCAACCACTAAAAGAAAACAATTTCCAACCCAGGCTGATATATCCTGATAAACTATCTTTCAAAATCAATGGAGAAATAAGATATTTTCATGATAAAGAGTACCTAAAGAGGGCTGGAGATTTAGCTCAGTGGTTCCGCTACCTGCCTTGCAAGCTCAAGGTCCCGAGTTGGATCCCCGGTACCAAAAAAGAGAGAGAGAGAGAGAGAGAGAGTACCTAAAGAAATTCATGACCACCTAACAAGCACTCCAAAATATTCTGAAGGATATCTGAGAAAGAGACAATAAAATTATCAATGACAAAAGGGCCAGTATAGGGAATACACCAGATAGGGTGAGCAGGTAAGTAGAAGAAAAAGATAGAGAATTAGTAGCAGGAAAATAAAGCAATGGCAGAGATAACTCAGCACCTATCAATAATAATCTCAATGTGAATGGTCTAAGCTCCCCAGTGAAAAGACACACATTAGCATAATGCATGAAGAAACAAAATCCAGTGTTCTGTATGCAAGAAACACATACCCAAAAAAGAAACTCACAGATTAAAAATCAAAAGATGGAAAACAATATTCCATGCACTGGAAATAAGGAAAAGAAGCAGAGGTCCCTATCCTATATTCAGACAAAATGGATTTTAAGCCAAAATGGATCCAAAGAGGCAAAGAAGCTCACTACGTATTGGTTAAGGGAACAATCCAATAGAAAAAAATAGCAATTATTAACATAAATGCACCAAACAATGATGCACCCAAATTTATAAAACAAGAACTACTTGACCTAAAAGACCAGAGAAAGATAAACACAATTATAGTGGGGGAACTCAATACTGTACTATCACAAATAGATAGATTGACTAGACCAAAAATCAACAAGAAATATCAGAGTTGAACAAAACCTTTGAACAAATGGATTCAGTAGATATCTAAAGTGTTCTGGCCAACAACAACAGAACATAAATTCTTCACAGCAACACATGGAATTTTCTGCAAAATAGACCACATACTGCTAATAAAGCAAGCTTAAGTAAATGTAAAAGAACTGAAATTATACCATGCATGTTATCAGAACTTAGCACAATGAAACTAGAAATCAACAACAAAACACAGAAATATGCAAACACATAAAAACTGAACAATGTGCTCTTAAATAAACAATGAGTTACAGAGGAATCAAGGAAGAAATAACACAGTTTCTAGAACTAAATGATAAAGCCACTAAAACATGCCAAAACTTAATGGGACATGATTAAAGCAGTCCTAAGAGGGAAGTTTGTAACTGTGAATCCCCATTCACAAAAACAGAACAAACTCAAATAATTAACCTAACAATGCACCTCAAAGTCCTAGAAAAACAAGAAAAATTCACTTAAAGCTAGGAAAGAAATTATTAAAAAAGGAAGGAAATTATAAAGATCAGAGCACAAATTAGTGAAACTGAGACAAAAAAATATAATCAGTGAGTTGGTTGGTATCTCTTCCTGTTGAATTGTTCCCTTAACCAATGTGAAGTGACTTCTTTGCCTTTTTTGATCAGTATTAGCTTGAAATTTACTTTGTATGAGAATAAAATTGCTACCCATGCTTGCTTTCAGAGTCCTAGTGCATGGAATATTGCTTTCCATTCCTTGATTTTTAGTCCACGAATTTCTTTTTGAATTAAATGAGTTTCTTGACTACATCATACTGCTGGATTTTGTTTTTTGATCCAATCTGCTAATCTGTGTCTTTTAACTGGGGAGTTGAGGCCATTTATATTGAGTTATTACTGAAAGGTATTGATTTATTACTATTGTTGCATTCTTTTCCTGATGACTTCTTTATTTAAATACTTGCATTCCTTGATGTACTTATTTCATCTGATCTTTTTGGCTTTGTTGCTCAATGTCTCTTTCTAGGATATCTTGAGAATTTTTTGGAGTGCTGCTTTGGTGGTCATAAATTTCTTAAGGTGTTCTTTGTCATGGAATGTCTTTATTTCTCCATCAATTTTGGAAGATAGTTTTGTACGATGTATTAGTCTGGGTTGAAAGTTGTTTACTTTTAGGGCTTGAAACATTTCACTCCAAGCTCTCCTAGCCTTTAAAGTCTAAGTTCCAAAGTCTGCTGTAATCCTAATGAGTTTATCTTTCTATGTGATTTTATTTGCTTCTCTCTGACAGCTTTTAAGATTCTTTTTATTGGACATCTGGGATTTCGACTACAATGTGTTGTGGGGATCTTCTTTTTTCATCGTAGTTACTTGTGTCCTATATGTTGAGATCTTTCCTCCTATTATTAGCTCTGTAAACAGATTTTTTTATTTCATGTATGCTGTCTTTTAATTTCCCTCTAACTCCAATTAGCCTTAGGTTAGTCTTCTTTGTGTCATCTAGTAGGTGTTAGATGAATTTTTCTTATCCTCTTATTTTTAGGTCTTCTCTAAGTAATTCATTATGAATTTTCATTTTTTCCTCGATTTCCAAAATCCTATCTTCACAACTGCTGTTTATGAATTCTATAGAATATTTTATCTCCAGGATTTCTGTTTGGCATGGAGTCTAAATCCTTGGTAAATTTGTCATGCATGTTTTGAATCATTTTGATCAGCTCTTCCAATTTTCTATTTGTTTCTCCTATATCTATATTGCTTAGTTGGTATGTTAGTTCCACTGTTTTGGGTTATGTCCTCTTTGAACTCCCTGAGTTTTTTTTAAATAGTGGATATTTTTAAGACGTGCCTTTCAAAGGAGGAATCATTCTTGGAATAAAAATATTTAGAACCAAATGAAAATTCCATATATCAAAACCTGTGGGAAGGAACTAAAGGAATTATTTGAAAGATGTTTTATAGCCTCAAATGTTTACATTAGAAAAGAAGGAGCTCAATATGTTGCTCAGGATAGAGAACTTGCTTAGCATGTAGGAGTCCCCGGGTTCAATCCCCAGCACTGAAAAATAAAAAGGAAAGAAAAGAAGGAAGGAAAGAATAAAAAAGAAATGAAGAATAAAGACTAATAAACTTAACATCAATCTAAGAACAGCTAAGAGGAAGGAAATAGTAGTTACAGCAGCCAATGAAATACAAACTCACCATAAAGAGTTTTGACAAAACACCAAATGTGCAGGTTTTTTTTAAACTTACAAAGTGATGATAACAGTGGAAACAGGGCAGTGAATTGGTAGAAAGTGAGGGTTCTGGAGCTGACTGCCCGGCTGATTCCAAGCCTGCCACTTTCCTACTGCGTGGCCTTGGGGCAGTGCTTTTTGGCTGGCACTGGTGGGCATGCAGCTCAGGCTCTGGACAGTCAGTTCCTAGTGCCCACGAGCTAGTGGTCCTTACAATAAGACTTCCAAGTTGTGTACTCTGACCACAGTATCTTCTTCCCACAAAGGAAATGGGAGGAGGGTACACTGAGGTTGGGAAAATGTGTTTAATTCTCCCCAATCATGGAACTATCACCAAGTGTTGAACTGATTCAAGACCAGATTTTCCCGACTTCGAAGTCTGCCCTTTCACCCACAGTGCTCATCCACCAGAGAAGAGGAAAATAAATCCCTGTTGGCTGCTCAGCTGGTCATGCTCAGGAATGATATTTACAGTACACCCAACTTTAGGGAAAATGTATTTTAGGGTCAAAAGTGAAATAGAAGGGGCCAAAGGCCACTTGCACATGCACACAAGTTCCCACTCCTTCTAATGGCAAGCCAGCAGTTAACACTGTGGGCTTTGGGATCAGAAACCACATGAATAATTAGTAATGCTTATTCGACACTATGGGCCAGGCATAATGCTAAGATCTTGCAGTGCTCAGAATATACCTTTTCGTGGGTCTGTTCTCGTCCCATAATACAAATTAAGAACCTCAGATGCAGAGAAATTAAATTCAAATTGCTAGAAATTGGCAGAGGCAGGATTTCAACCAAAGCCATCTAACTTCCAAGCTGCTTTCTTATCTTATTCCTTTTTTTGGGTCCCAGGGATCAAACTCAGGACCTTGCACTTGCGGGGCCCCAACCTCCTCACCTATTGATTGTGTGTGACAACACCCACCACACCCTAACTGTGAAGAGAAAATGAGAAAAGGCAGGGGAACCCTCCATCCTGCGGTATCTGCAAGCAGCAAGTGAGGAGGAGGAGGAGGAGGAGGAGGAGGAGGAGTGTGAAGAAGACAGTGAGCATGGCAGTGTTGTGACACCTTTGACAAAGACATAGGCCTAAGTGCTCCAGAAAAACTTACTGCATAGACTCCTCAAAGACATCTTTCCACTTCTCTCACACGGCTCTTTCTGTGGGCAGATCCTTTGCGCTGTATGTGAAAGCTTATTTTCAAAATCAAAATCACAGCATTTCCCATTATGTGAAGATATGAACAAAAGTATTTAAAAGAATCTGACAAATAAAACTGTAAGAAAGTGAGAAAAATGCTCACGTTACCAGGTTGCGGTTAAGTCTAGCTTTGAACTTAATTTTCCAGAATTCTTGAAATACCCGTCATCCTGGCAGAAAAACCCAATTAATCAGGCAGTGTTTGTTCTCTATGTGTGAGTCACTATCGCCATCTACAGTTAAATGTGGGGCATGCGGCACTGTCAAACCACCATAAGATCAGGGTCCAGGGGAAGTTGGTGGCCAGGACTGAGGAGGAAATACTACCTGAAGGAGCAGCTCTTTCTCCACCACCTCTTCCGTCTTGCTGATGAGCCGCCTCTGCAGGGCGTGGATTTTCTGTATCAGTTCAAAGGAACTGGGGTCGCTGGCCTGTCCAAGGAGACCAACAATAGCAATAAACAGCTGAGATCTCATCAGTTTTGAAGCACATGTAAAGTAAGTACTGTTTTATTAAAATCTATTTCAAACCTGAAGACCTAATACAGAGGGAATTAAAACCAAAAAAGAAAAGTATAACAGATAGGATGGTGATAAATATCTGTCCCTCAGAACAGCAGACTGCAGATTGCCTGATGTCTCATCTATGCCCTTAGTTAGCTCATGAATGCAAGGTGAATAATAGTAATTATTATTATAACTGCTATGTGTGACCCTTGATTTTTTTACCCCCATCCATTTGCTATGCTGATTGTTCATCATATAAAATCATATCTTGGCTGCACAACAGTCTCATAAAATAGTATTAGACTTCCCTTCTTAGAGATAAGATAACTGAGGCTCTTAGTATTTGGCTCATTTGCCCAAATTCATAAAGATTGGAGCTGAATTTGAGACCAAGACATGCTTGGCCCCAGAGCTCTGATGCTTCTTTACGATGCTCTGGAGGTTTCCCTACCACCTCGATGCCTCCAGGAGGAATGAGCCAGGATCCCTAATTCACTCAACCTTCAGATACCCCTTCAGTCACTGCCAACAACAAGGTTCAGTACAGTCCATGATGGGGAAGGTCTCCAGGATACGGATGTGTGCAAAGGTAATAACTGGCAGCCGAACACGGCCGTGGAATTTGGAATGGAGCTATCAACCCATAAAGCTCTGAGCTTCCTCCAAAAGTTATCTGTGTATGATGAGAACAAGAGCTACGCTTATAAATTGATAAGTTGTTGTCCAAACTTTGAGACTTTGAGCCAAAGCTTCACTCTCAACTGTACTAATATTTTAAATTAATCTAGTAGCTAAATATTTTCAATTGCCTCCCAGAGTACCTATTTTCTAATTTTTTAAAATAGAAATTGACACAGAGTTGGAAAGTTTAAAGATTTCCTTGAAAACACATAGAATAAATTAATGGTAAATGGACTCAAAATCTTCAGCTCCACTTCCCCAGAGAGATCTTTAGGCTAGTGAACCACACCACTCATTTTATCTGAAGAGGAATAAATGATGGTGGAGAGGAGAGAGAGAGAGAGAGGAGAGAGAGATTTCATTGAGTGCATAAGAAACACTAAGTGGAGCCATTGATACCATACATTGGGACTACACTTGGCACACACTCACTTGGCAGCACTGCATGGTGTTGAAACTCCAGGCTCATGTTTACATAACAATGTATGATGCATTGCCCTTAATGCTTTCTTCATTAAAAGGAAAAGAACAAAATGAAACACACAAACCTGCTTGACTGATTTCCCCCACCCTGATCTTTCTGGCAGCATAGACTCGTATCTCTCAACACCCTCACTGTTCCTTCAGTAAAAGCGTCTTTGGGCACCGAGATCACTAGGTACAGCTACAGGAGAGGGCCTTCTATCCCGTGAACAAGTGGGGCTTGTCATCATTGGTGTGTGCAGTGCTGGTGGTAATGCCTATCAGGAAGTCGTAAAATGTAACATGAAGTTGCCCCCCCACCCACCAAGGGAACTTTGGCTGTGTCCCCACATCCTAAGAGAAATGAGTTTGCCTAACGTGACATTAGTCCTCAAGATGGCTACTCCACAGAGCCATATTTCTTCCTGTGATAAATAAAAAGATGCAAAGACAAATTGACAGACAGTTAAGATGCTGGTGGCCAACGTAGCCAATGGCAATTAACAATCCAAGACTAATAGGCAGCTACAGGATACCTGGTGGACCAAAGATCACCCAAAGAAGAAAAGAAATGTCCACTGGCGAAGTCAATTCATGGCTCTCACTGGGCCTTTTTCAGCAGAGAAGATTTGTTCTTCTTTCCCCAAGACTTTGTAGACAAACCTCAAATGGAACCATCTGGTTCTAGAGTGACTCAATTTACATTTGATCTAGTCTTACATTCTAGGTGATGATTTGCGAAGTATGGCATTAAAGGCACTTCTCAGGTGAGAAGCCTGGAAAGGGGCGGGAGATGAGACCTGGGGATGACGCCATGTTCTGCTGGGCTCACCTCAAGCTTCCTCCACCGATGCACATTCATGGGGTTCTCCAGCTCCTCCTCCAGGGCTCGGCATCGGGTCCTCTCCTTCAAGAATTCCTTCTGCATGTGAAAAAGCTCCTGCCTGAATAAGACACAAAAAGTGGGGATTTGGGCGACCTCAGTGAACAGAGACCAGCATGTTTGTGGGGCACAAGAGCTGCCTTAGGTTGAAACAGCAGCACCATAGAGGCCGGGCTTCATAACCTTGAGGCCAAATGGTCAAGGAATTTCAAAGCACGAAAGAAAAAGGAGGTAGATCATGAGAGCTTCAGCATACTCGCCACATTTCTAAGTCTCTGCAGTAACAAGCTATGAGTGACCCATCCTGTGCATGCCCTGCCTGACTGCAAACTCTTGCCACACAGGTGGCCGTGTGGCACCCTGAGGACAGTACACCTCCACCCTCACTGCCATCAGGTTCCCCCGGGGAGTCTGACAACATCCCTTTGCCAGGACCCAACCCCCAGAAGGATTCTGTGGCGTGGAGTCCTTGGGTTTTAGTCTTGCAGATCACTCTCACGTGCATTCAGGCCTGAGAACAGTCAGGACCTGGGAGGACATTTTACCCCCAAGTCCACAACTACTGGACAGGGATAGCTGGAAAGGTCCTAAAGCCCTGGCTGAAACATACTACCCATCTTCAGGAATCTCTAGTCCACGGGTGATGCGCTAAAGCCATCCTCAGTACACTGGCACTGGCCACCACCCTGTCGGCACCACCCAAAAGTCCTGCGGGGAAGTAGAAAGGGGGTGAGCACTCACACTGATGCATGTGGTGAGAACATTGTTATCTGTCCTGGTCTGCAGTGGGTGTGCACAGTGCTAACACTAAGCCATCTCTTTTACTTAATTGCTTCATTTAAACCAATAATACAACTTCCCCTCATTAGCAAGACAAACCATTAGAATTAACTGCATGATGTTCGCTCAGGAGGGAGCATACATCGAGCTGCTCAGAATTGAAAGCATATTTTTAACATTCCAACTTTCTTGAGCGCCATCAGAAGAGGGCAACAAGAATTAGCTACCATATTTGATGAGTTGCTTGGTACTAGACTCAGTGCTAGGCACATTGCATTTGTCTTCATAGTAATGGTAACTACAAGTTGGAAGTTAGAGAAAGTTAGTAATTTGTCCAAGGCCAAACAGCTTGTAGGTGGCAAGGCTGAGATTAGAATTCATGCCTGCTTGCTTCCAGTCTTTTTCAAGTTGTTTTCTCATTAGAATAAAAAATAGAATCCATTATCAACAAACTAGCAGTATTGACTAGGAATTGGTAAAATGTGACCCTTTCTGTATGTCATAAAAATAACTCATGGTTGACAGGTTGAGTGATGGTCTGAGAGATCATTCAGTAGCTACCTAGAATGGATATATTTGTCTCCAAAATGGCAGTGATGATATCTCTGGGTAGTAAAATTATGAGTGATTTTCTAACCCCTTCCTTATACTTTTTCTGCATTTCCCACATTTTCTACAATGTATTTGTATGACTTTCATTAACTGAAATATGAGCAACTTTAGCTAGATAGATGATAGATTGATTAACAGACCCATTCTTGACAGTGCCAACCTCACTATTCCTGAGTATAGTCATGCATCTAAACAGCAAAGCCATCTTCTAATTCAATTCATTGAAGGAGCAGGTCCAAACTGTGTCCTTATCCCAGGGTGGTCAAGGAGACTGTGCATCTCCCAGTCTGTGGGGAACAGGGAGAGCATGTGAGAAAAGACCAGACCTCTGATTCACTTTCCTGCAATTGCCTGCATAAAACACAGCGATCTTTTCCCACCGGGCAAGTGGATCTTGTGTAATGCAAGATTTAAAGAAAGAAGAGGAGCACTAAACTAAAGTGAAAGCTACAGAAGATAAATCAGGAGTGAGATATAAAATCTGGCTGCCTTGTAAGGTAACAGATTTTCAAATAGTGATAGAATTAAATTTTCCACCTCTTTTTATCCTGTATGTAATTCCAAGAAAATGATGTGCAAATGTTACCAGGAATGAAATTTAAATATTGATGCTCCATCTCTTATATACTGACCTAAATTTGAGAGAGCTCATTGGGGGAAGAAATGTCTCTGAATTGCAACCAGTCTGTATTTCTGATTTATTGTGAAATTTCCTTTTAAAAATCCTGAATAGTTTGGGTTTTTTTTCCGTTACCAGGGATCGAACTCAGGACCTTGTGCTTGCCGTCACTGAGCTACATTCCCAGCCTGCAGAGTAGTTTTGAATACCCTTTTGTACTTACTCATACCCACTGAAAGGAAATCAGTTCATTTTGTGTCACAGAGTGAGCACAACATAGATCTTTATGGGAAAGTTGTTCTCGATGTTTGCTGACAGTTGCATCATATGAAATCCATTTTGCACAATTTTAATGAGGACCTTGAATGACTAACAAGCATGAACACGAGGTCATTTTGGGAGCCCCCGCAGACCCTGGTCTGTTACCTGAGCTCCTCAACATTAGCCACACTCTTGGTGAGGATCCCCTTCTCCCGGCGAAGCTTCTTGATCTCCAGCTTGAGGATCCTCATGTCCTCCAGCCTCTGGTTGTACTGGCTTTCGCCTTTGTTCAGCACGGACTGCTGGATCTTGATCTTCTCGTAGAGCAAAGCTAACTCGTCATTGCGCCGAACAAGCTGAGACCCCAGGATGTCTCTTTCACTGGTGACCTAGAAAGGCAGGACAGGGCACGGCAACCTGGAATCAAGTCACTCTTGTCACCACAGCAGCCCCTCGGGCATAGCACTGGAAAAAGCCTGCTAGGCAATCAGCACTGGATTCTCCCCCAGTGTTTGCAATCTCCTATGGAAGAGAAATCACTGCACAATAAATAATCCATAATAGCAACCATCTAATAATACAATAATCCTTGGCCCCTGGGCACGTCACTTTGTGTGTGTTTTCCAACCCAATTTTAATATTTGAATTTGCATGATTTTGCACATTTCTACTTCTTGCCAACTTCTGCGGGTGCTTACTGTCTTGCACTGGGTTCTCTCTGCCAGGTCCCTGAAAGCATTTCGGTTCCTAACTGCCTATTATGCATCTGCATTTCTAGCTCCTGAATTATGTAATTATTAATTGCTATTCTATATGAGCAGTTAATTATACTGCCCTAGAATGTGAGCTCCCGGAGAACAAGGGCCTTACCATCTTGTTGGCCAGTGTGCGTCCCCAGCGTCTGGAGAAATGACTCACACCTTGGCAGTGCTGGTAAATACGAGCCAAGTAAGTGAGTGACTATTTCATAATCAACACAGATCAACCTCTGCTGCTGCTCTTCCAGTAGGTTGGACGGCAGCGGGTTAGAGAGGACAGAAAACTCACGGAAAGTGAAGCTGAGCTCCTGTGAGCGCTAAGGGGGTCTGAGGAGGAGGCTCTACCTGGTCCAACTCCTTCTTCTCCCTCAGCCTCTCCCCATCAGCTTCCGCAATGATTCGCAGGAGCTTCCTCTCTTCCGCCTCCTGCTTTGCAATGAAGCGTTTGGTCTCCAGGGCTTGTTGTCTCAGCTTCTGCAGCTCAGCCTGAAAAGCAGTGAACGACATGGACAAATTTCATTCAGCAGTGGCCCAAACCAGGACCACAGGGCCTGGATTCGACGTGTGCTTGTGCCACTTCACCTTCTCCTGGTATTTCATTTAAGACCATCTGCTCTCTCTCACAAGCCAACAAACCTACAGCACACACATATTCACACTCACTCACATACACACACACACACAGTGCCCATCACAGAGGCCGTGTGTGTGCTGAGTTAAGCCCTTGGGAGAGTTCTATCACTTTTCAGCAGCTTCATGAGTATACAGCACCATTCCATCCCGTACCAGGAGAACGCATTATGAACAGTGCAGGGGAGGCTGTGAGGTATGGACAGAAGAGGCCTCTATGTACCAGCTTCGGTGACAGCCCTAATGTCAGCAGAATGCGCACTGCAAAGGGAAAGCCCATTGTGAGCAAACATTAGATCAGTCAAAGAGGACAATCACAGTGACAATCTTCGAAAACACTGATGGGACAGAAGGAACATTGTGGTATAAAAAGCCATACAGGTCCCAGTCCAAAGACACTTCCAATCCAGCTAAGATGACAAGAGAGACAAATCTTAATAAGTCCAGGCAGTAATTTTTCAAGATCCCTTTTCTTGTCATGTAGACAGTGAACTGATGTTACAACAGGTCAAAGGAAAAGACATCTTCAAACTGGGGAAACCAGGGACCTTTCTCAGAGTGCTCACCCCTGAGCCCGACCCCTGAGGGCAAATGCCACTCATTGAACTTGGAAGTTAAAAAGGAAACTTCTTCTCATCAAAGCATACATCCATTTCCATTCCATAAATATGTTTGTGACATAAGATATCCCAGACATTGCAAACCTCTTATCTCTATTATGTGGATGCAGTTATGAAGACAAAGAAAAAGCAAATAGAAGGCCACAGAGCTAGTTAGCGGCAGGATTGAGTTTCCAACAAGGATGCTTCCATGTCAAAGCTCCCTCTGTGGTCATAGTTCCAAATCGATACAGAGGATGAGTACAACTGAGAACTCAGCATCCATCTGCAGTGATGAGCACAGCCATCATGGGTGAGTATGCTCTCTGCCTGTGTGTGGGGAGGGACTCGTGAGCACACAGGAAAGGTTCTACTTTGGTCTGGGGTTGAGAGGGGAAATCAGAAACCCTTGTGGCCAGATCTGGCTCCCATGGAGGGGTGTGTTGGGGGAAGCACCTAACAGTCAGGCTGTGTGAGCAGAACAGGCAGACTTCACAGAAGCTGGTATATTCGCCAGACAGTGCGACACCCCATGTAGTTGGACTGGAGAACTAGGTAGGGAGTGGCAGGGGGAGAAGCTGGCAAACAGCTGAGCTGGGCTGGATGGGAAAGGACCTCACAGACCACACACCATAGAGTATGCAAGGCAGAACCAGAGTCACCATGCTAAAGAACATGCCTTCCTTGAAGAATATGTCCTTAAGAGATTCCTGCCCAGTGGCAAGACTGAGCAGGTCAGCACAAGAAGAAAGCAATGAGGAGGAGCAACTCTGCTTTCATTCAGACCTGGGATCACAGGGAGGACAACAAGATGATATAAAACCTCAAAGTGTTAGTGCTTGCTCGTCGCCAGTGCCAGTGAAAGAGGTATCGATTGTTTCCCTGCTGTAAGTATCGGGACCCCCATGACCACTCACCAGAGAAGCTTACCAAGATGGCAGAAAACGCCACACTTGCCAGAGTCCACCAACCAACCCGACTCAGCCAAGGTCTGCCTCTAACCGATGAAGGCTAAGAGCCACGAATCCTGTGCCTCAAACTCACACCAATAGCCAGGATGCTGGACACCTCGTAATAGATGTGAAGTGTGACACATTAAATGCAACCAGCTACTATGAAAACAAGAGTTTGTTTTATGACATTTTGCTTTTTTCATTCATGAAATATGTTTTGGTCTAGGGACAAGGAGAAAGGACTACTTAGTCGGGTCAGACCCGGTCTCGTATTTGCCACGTAAAGGGCTGCCTGTTAGGAAAGAGAAGGGAGCACCAGCGTTTCTATTCCCACAATCATTTAAGGTGACAGCAAAGACAGCGATAAAATACCTGTGTGGCTGATGCTTTCTTCAATCAAACTTTTATTTTCCCATATATGCAACACTCACTTCCCTGTTCTTAAGTGCCAAGAGCTGATCAGAATCCATCAGCAGAACAGAATGAAACCCCTGTTATATTAAAATGCAATCAACGGTGTGTAAAAGCATCTGTCTGAAATGTAAAGCCAAACCGTTCGTGTGTTTGGCATTGCTGGGTGCTTTTTTCATAATATATCACAATTCTGAGTGGTCTCCTTATGTCATAAATTTATGGGCTGTAAACAAGATGTGGCATTAGACGTTGGCAGCAAATGTTAACATCAACAAAATACCTTGGGTCTAATACAGCCAGCAATTATAAATCTGAGCCGTCTCACTCAGCAAAGGAACAGCCGCTGTGCACCCAAACCCCACCTCGCAGCAGCTCGGGAGGGACTGGGTTTTTCGCGCCTGTCAAAGTTTTACTAGGGGCATGAATTTTGTAACCAGCAAGAGAACACACTCCAGTCAGCGCCCCTCGATTATACAGTGTTACAATGCGCATTTGTGGACTGTATATCATCTAACTTGGCCCTGGGTACAGATCATATTTCAAAAGCCGCACTATGAGAGACTCAGCGGTTCTTACATGAACCGCGAAGAAGCCTCCTGGTCCTGACAGTCACTAGGCTTCCTCTCTCTTTCACAGATGACAGCTCCCTATCTGTGTCCCGCTACAGAGTCCACTAAGTGAAGGGATACGGTGGCCTGAAGCCAGTGCCCAGTGTGATGCTGAGCTAAGGACATGGGGGATTTGCTGCTGAATTATTCGCTAAGAATCAGAACACCATCGTACAGATGTAGGACGACTGAAAAATGACAAGGCAGAATCAGGTCTTTTTAGGACTGGAAGGCAGACTCGGAGCAAGACGGCTGCATTGGAGTGGATGAGAACAAGACAGGGGCTGCGTGGGCAGTGAGGTCAGATGTGGCCACAGCTACGGAGAACTCTTGGCATTCTGTCGCAGCCATGGTGTATGGCCAACATCTCACTCCCAAGGAGTCAGGAAAGCTGGGAGCAACCGGAAAAAGAAAAGTAACATGGGAGAAGCGCAATCTTTCCACTGAGAGCAATGGGAGAGGATGAGGATAGGCAACGAATCGGGGAATCCCGGCAAGAGGCATCTCATGGTCTACCAAGCAGCAAGGGCTCGCCTCTCCAGCGGGGGTCTCCACCCACACCCGCTGTGTAGAACTCAGGATGATAAGACAAATGTCTCTCGGGGCAGTGTCCCTAGAAAATCCGCCCTTTCCCCCAGGGTGTTGGTTTTCAAACTTCAGGGGCATGAAATCCAGAGGCCTATGTGAAATGTGATTCAAATTCTTAGGTTAAAAAGTCAAGAGGCTGGAACTCAACATTTGAGCTGTCATATTTTTCTAAAGAATGTCCAACGAGCTTAAGGATAGGCCGACCCTATCCAGTTGGGGCACCACTGTGGGTCGCCCTGGGATAATCTCAAATAATAAATCAAGCAGGCATCCTTTCTCTACTCCTCATTCTTGCCTTGATGGGAGAGGCTGGGGGAAAGGCATTACTAGTTCCACAGTTAAAGCAAAGCCAAGCCTATAATCGATGACCCGAAGCCCCCAGACCCAGGATTTCTCATTCCGAGCTCCCCCTGCAGAGCAGGGCATTTTAATCACCCTTCATGTCCCCAGCTGCCAGTGCTGCTGGCCCAGGCCACATAGCAGGACCATACCACCCTTCATTTCGTGTTGCGGCGATACTGCTCTGGAGCTATAGGCATAGATGCCAGGTGAAGGAGAGGGTAATTAAAACAAACATTAACTAAGGTCAAACCCTAAGAAACTGGGACTAAGTGATCTTGTACATAAGGCTTGCTTGTTGTAGAGCAGGAGTTTGGAGAAGGTGGTTAGTTCCACCCTGGACTCTATCATGGGTAATAGTTATTCTTTTGAACACAGCATCACTGGGAGGTAGAGATGAGAGTCAATGTCATCCTCCAGGGGAAGGAGATCATGGGCCAAGCAGACTACACTGCAGACACTGGCACATGCGTGAGGCCCCTGGTGTGGCAATGTTTATGAGATTCTTCTTCGGATCCATTCCGCAATAAATAAACCCCATCTTGCCACAAGATAGCCATTCTTGCCACTAACTGTCCCCATGAAACTTTTGTACAAGGGGAACAGGGCAAAGAGGAGGAATATTTTCAAATTTTAGAAAATGTGCGTGTATCTCTTTATATATAAATAAATATTAATACAGAATTTTCTATTCTTTTTCTATGATAAGTTGGAGTGTGGGAGATGAAAGTCTCAGGTAAATACATCAATTACTGTGTCTTTTTTGTAAAAGCACTTTTGTTAGAGTTTAATCTTTCTCAAACCAAATGTACCTTAAATTAATTTAAGGTAGTACTTCTATTCTCGTGAAGACCTATCCTTAGGTTGCCAAAGGCATTATTAACTTGAGAGTGCATATTTCAATCCATGGCATCTTAGAATCAAGGAAATGTGGCATTAAATCTGTTCAATGCAGGATCCACATTTTCGAGAGCAGGACAGCCTTTGAAAGCTAATATGTGTGAAATCAGGGTGCCCACTTTCTGTTATAAACAGTTCCTACAAATGGCTCGTAAGCATCCACGAGTATTCTGCATCGTGAAAGTGTCATCATTCTTAGAAGTTCCCTTTTTAATTCTTTGGTCAAATAAGGTAGAAGGGAAAACTATTGGATTGGATGAAGAAAAGGACATGATATCAGGAGTAGTGATATGAATGCTAAACCATATTTGGTTGGGGGATTAGAAAAGGTATAATTATTTGCTCTGCATTCTCAGAATGAGTCCTTCTGTTAGTGGACATAAAATACTCTAACCAAGTAGGCTCAGGTCAGGGATTTAGCTCAGTGGTTCTGCTGCCTGCCTTGAAAGCTCAAGGTCCGGGGTTCAATCCCCAGTACCAAAAGAAAAACACACACGAAAAAAAAACCCAAGTAGGCTCAAAGGAGCTTGTCTAGCCAGGTGTGGGAGTGCACACCTGTGACCTCAGCACCCGGGGAGGCTGAAGCAGGAGGACCACAAGTTTGAGCCTGGCCTGGGCAACTGAGTGACTTAGTGAGGCAACGTCTCAAATAAAAGTAAGACAGGCCGAGAATGCACAGGCCCTGGGTTCAGTCCTCAGTACCACAAAAATAAAATAAAGTAAATAAAATGATATGTCCTAGTAAGATCTATGGAGACAGAGGTGAGTGCCAGAAGAGAGCCCCACAGAGGCAAAGTGAGCCACGGATCCGCTGCGGGCAAAGCACACAAAGCTCTGCCACTTAAAGGAAGTGCGGGCAGAAAGTCACATGCACAGGAAGGGGCAGCGACTGGACGGAAAGCGAGTGTCACCTGTCAGCGCCGATGGCCCAGGGAGGAGTGTGGGGCACCTGGGTGTGAGCAGGGGCTGGGCTTGTGGACATGAAGGGACAGCACAGAGTCTGCGAGTTCGAGGACCTGCTAGTTTCGCTTCCCCTGCCCACGGTGGCCCTCACGGAGGAGCCCGTGCTCTGCCTCCTGGAGCCAGCCCTGAGAGGAACTGAACAAAGTGCAGCCGGCAGCCACCTGGGCTCCTGTGGGTAGGTTGGGGAAACCCGAAGGGGAGGAGGCTGCCCCCGGGCGATGGGCCAGGAAGGTCTCTACCTTCAGGGTTTCCTTTTCTTTTTCTATTCGCTGCTGCTCCAGACTCAGCTTCACCAGTGTGGACTCTTTGGCAGAGATCTCTTCCTTCAGCTGATCCACCTGACGCGTCATAATCTTTAACTTTCTCTTCATTTCCGTGATTTCATCCTAACAAACCGAAAGGAAGAACAACGGTGGGAAGTGAATTAAGTAAGCATCACTGTCCCTACAGAAGTTCAGTACATTCTTAAGAGGTTTTCAGGGAGGGTTTCTCAAAACGAGTGTCGCCTGACCAATTATGATGGGCTATCCCTTTGTCTCCTGTGCCCATCAACCTCAAAGTATTGAGAGCAATAACTCAAAATAATCTCATGAGGGGCCGGGGATTTAGCTCGGTGTTCCGGCACCTGCCTCACAAGCGGAAGGTCCCAAGTTCAATCCCCGGTACCAAAAAAAAAGTCTCATGAAACATGTACCAACTATATGTGATGACTCACACTATACTCCTCATTTTACTAAGGGAATTGAAAGCACAACACATATAAATTGAAGATTTCAAAGTAAAGCTCTACAATTACAACACTGTTGCCCTATTAGTCTGGGCAGTCAGTAGCCGTTGTAAAAAACGACAAAGAGGAGAAAGCCAATTCTACATAATAATTAAAAATAGGATCATGATCTCTACATCCTGTTACACTGTGTCTTTTCTATTTCCAATAACCTGACAGTTCTACATGAATTGATCTTTTTCGGGTGAATTGTGTAAGATTTCGTTCTTCACCTATTCTAAACCCTGCCATTAGGACAAAAGAAACTGCTTTAAGCCTAGGGTGGGGAAAAATCAAGGTGTAAAGATAAATGCATCGTTTACCTGAGCCTCAACCAGATTTTTGCTACACAGATTCCTGTCTGACCTCACAGCTTCATATAGGTTCTGTTGGTGTTTTAATTTAGTCTCTGATTCAGCTATTTTTTTCTTGTAGTGAAAAATCTGCATTTCACGGACTTTTATACCTTCCATGTTCATGAGGAGCTGGAGGAGAAAGAATTTGGATATGGTTAAACAGCTTATCTGTGCTTACAGACTTGGACAAATGGAGTATTTTACCCAGGGGTGGCTGTGGGAGAGGCCAGCACTCCAGGAATCTCACTGTGACTACAATCACGGGAGTACAACACAGAAATTCAGCTGAGCTGATAAGAGGCAAACACATTTTATCTATGCCACAGTTCTGCTCAATTATACATGCTCAATAACACTATTATTTTGTGATTACAAGAAAGAGGAAAAAGGGAAAAGAGATTCTTTTAATTCTGGAAGCCTCTCCTGACCACTGACCCATAAAAATAAAAAAACTACTGGCTCAGGCCAGGGATGTAGCTCAGTGGCACTGCGCCTGCCTTGCAAGCTCAAGGTCCTGAGTTCAATCCCCAGTAAAAAGAGCAAAAGAAAAAGAAACATAGGCTCAAATGGATCTTAACACAAGCACTGAGAAAGATAATTCAGCTCTTTGGACACTGGCTGCTTTATCAAGTTGACGGCGAGGAAGAAAACTGGTGTGTGCCCCTTAATAGCCGTCAACCCCCTCAAAATCCGCCCCTCACCACACACACACACACACACGCACGCACGCACGCACGCACGCACACACGCACATCCCACCACTCGTACCTCTTTTGGAAGCACTTCTAGAAGTCCTCTTCCGTAAGTGTCTTTAGTTGTGCGGTCATGGTTGCCTCTATGTCCTGAATTCAACCACGATTTTTACCTTTCACAGTCATTTTGACCTTGAGGAAGAGCGCGAAGCCACACAGGGCCAGATCCAGTGGATACGGTGGATGAGGAGGTGCCATAATGTTTTTACGAGCTGCCTTTCCATTGGATGGCACTCAGCAGCAGCATTCACCATATTTCTTATCACACCTTGAAAAGACACTCACGAAAGAGGACTTCAAGACCTCCTTTAGAAAGTAGCAGGAATGATGGGATAAGTATGTTTGAACGGGGTGGTGTTTTGAGAGGGATCAAAGGCCATATGTCTTTGACTGTAAGAAATTTTTTTAATTTAAATAATTTTTATCACAATACTTCTGGGAAGGAGGAGAGGCCAACATGACCACCTCCTTTTTGCGAGGATGAACAGCTCAGGCCTGAACTTCCAGTGTGAGTCAATTCTTATCAACAAACAATTCACAGCATAGAAATTATGCAGTCATGACTCTTAGCTGCCATGTCCATGGAAATTGATTTTTTAGGACAAATGTCTTTTTAAAACTTCCTTAAGAAAAACTTTAGTCTGTAAAACAAATCAATAAAACGATGGGGTAAACAACAGCCGTAACATGTAAGGAGAAAATTCTTAAGATTTCATGTCATTTTAGCAGATTTCTTTTAATTAGTGGTTCCGGTGGAAAGTATCTGAGCAATGAGAAAAGGAATAGAAGGACAGGGACAGGTGTGAAGGGGGGGGGTGACTCTAGCAGGGTCCCCGTGGAAGTGACATGTTGCCTAGAACCTAAAAGTTTGGAAAAGGACCTTAGATCTTTGCCATGCTGTGTTCACTTTGATTCGAGTGTGGGCAAATTGCGAGCACGCTCCCACCTGACTACCCGACAGGAACCCACCCTTCTTCCTACTTGTTGAATTAGCTTCGAGGACAGGGGGTGTCGCGCAGTGGTAGAGCACTTGTCTTGCACGTGTGAGGCCGCGGGTTTGAGCCCCAACACCATCAAAACTCTAAAAAATAAAAACAAAAAGTAGAAGCCAACCTGAGGAGCCCTGTTCTAGGATTTGCGGATCAGAGACCATAATGGCTGTTGTTTAAGATATTTATCCATTATATCTTTACGGAAGCATCTTTCAGAGTTTTCTTACAGATATTTAAGGGGATGGGATTACATCCCTTCCAACATATACTATTTTATACTATTTTTCTTACTGAATCAATTGGTTTGATATACTTAGTAATTTTTCCCTTTTTAAACATTTTAATTTCTTTATACTTAGCACCACATGCCCTAATTTAAAATATATTCATAAATGTGGAAAGTACATTTTGTTTGTTCATTTACTTGGGTCTTCTTTCTCCCTTTAACCTTCATCCACTCATCCACATATGTTAATTCTAACAATCTAATATGTGCCCTTCCACATTTTTCTTTGAATTTTGCATATGTTATTCGAGTCCACAAAAATAATAGTAATAGCTCAGACTCACCATGCACTTTCTATGTATCTGGCACTTTGCATGTGTTAACTCATTTAATCTCCCAAATTCCTGTCAGATGTGTATCATCACCCCAATTTTACAAAAAAGGAAACAGAGGCCAAAAGAAGTAATATTTATGAAATTATTCCATAGTAAGTATACAACTGCAGGAATTGGCTTTCCTTTGTTTTGTGTTTTGCTTTGCCTTCTAGATTTTGTTTTTATTTTTTAGGCAAAAGGGTCTTATTACACATACTTTGATGCATTTTGCTTCTTACTCCTCAGTAAGGCTGTGGTGGTCATCTGAAGTAGCTCTAACCTGTTCTCTTTCGAGGCTGTATAATACCCCACAACGTGGACGCACCTCTGAATGTCCTCAACTATGTCTGCCTGAGCAGTAGCTGTTTCTGCCCTTTCTGCCCTTTCTGGCCCTGAACCATGCTGCAGTAACATTTCCTGCATGTGTTCCCGGGTATCTGTGCTTTTACTTCCGTGGGATGGATTTCCAGGAGTGGAATAGCGGCACAAAAGACACACGTATTTTCAGCTTTAATGGGTATTGCTAGATTGCTTTCCAAGATGGCTACAACATTTTACATTTCCACGCCACCAGCAACAGTTCTCATAATAGAAAACTGCCCTTGCCAGTTGCAAATAAACCCTCTTTGGTCATACTGGATGATTCTTTCAATATTCTATTGAATTTTCTCTGCTAGAACTTCTTTAGGATCCTCCGTACATATGCCTAAGTGATACAGGCCTATAGCTTTCTTTTTGGTTCTATTTAATATCAGAGTTTCTACTAGCTTCATGAAGTGAAGTACCTTCTTGTTCACTCGTTCATCTACTCGTCATCCATTTAGTCATTCATTCAGTGAACATGCGCTGAGGATCTGTCTGCGGCAGGCATGGTAACAGCAGGATGGTTACAAAGAGCAATAAGACAGTGTTCCTATCCCCAAGCTTACCTCTACAGAGTGACCCCAGCAGAGAAGGGCTAACCAGCCAGTGGACACAGCCAGCCACTGAGAGAGCACAGGCTGCTACTTGGGAATCAAGAACTAGAAGGTTCGTGGACAGGTTCTGAGGATGAACCTTCTCCTCTTCTTATGTAAGCAGCTAATATCAGAAGCTTCCCTCTCAGCCAGACTCACCTCAACCCCAGGATCTCTCCCAGGCTGGAGTCTTTATACATCACACCACTGTAGGAGCAATGAGTTCCACCAGCGAAGCACTGCCCGTCCACATTAGCCCCAGATTATACAAAGTACACAAGCAATAGTTTTTCTAAATTCACACTTGAAAAAAATTATACAACCATACATTTCACATGCACTATACAATATATAACATGAGAATTATATACTTCTTGCAAATTTAAAGAAACTTAATTCTAAAGTCATTAGGCTCTTGGTCATTGTTGGAGCAAATCGTCTCAACTCTTTTAGATGGATATACCTCTAAGAGAGTTATCTACTTCATCTAATTTTTAAATGGGTGCAATTAGACAAAGTACTTTTATAGGCTGTTCCTGTTGTTTTATTATTATTACTTGCTATCATCCAGTTAGTGTGGAAAGAAAAGGATCCAAGGTAAGAATATATATCTATATACAGGCCCAGTGGCCAATGACTAGGATGGCTGGTTGGGGCCTGGGAAGAGTGAGATTAGAAAATCAAAGATAAGAAGGTCTAGGGAAAAGATGTGTGGATGGATCTGGAATTTTTTTTTAAAAGCCCACTCTTTCCATCATTTCTTTAATCCACATTGTCAGGAAACTTAAAAATGAGTAGGAAGTAGCCTTTTAAGATATCAATTTTGGTAATTAAAATATATGTTAGGAATAAACAGAAAACTAAAATAAGGTACCCATTACTGGATCTTTTATTTGGTTGAGTGTTTTTTTTTCTTTTTAAGGAAAAGCACTACCTCAGCCTAATAGTTTGTCTTTTTCTAGATAGGACATTACCTTCTTTAGGATCAGTTAAATGAATAAATTGAAAATACTTTGAACAGCAGCATCAGCATTGAGAATATCAAGAAGCACATCAGAGAAAGGGAAAACTCGCTTATTCTATCATGTTGAGAGACATTAGAATGAGGATAATCCATCGCACAAACAGAATAATGCTCCAGAGAAAAGGTGTAGGCAAGAACATTTCCCCTCTGAGCATCCAACTAGCATGGGCCATCTATTCTCACACTACAGTGCACAAAATCAGAAACTTCTGGTTTCCTGAAGCTGACAATAAATAATAAGAACCTATCATGATACCAAGAGGATCAAAGGAATTTAAGTAACAGTGGAAAAAATAGCAAGTGTTGAAACTAAAGAAAAAGATGATTTACAAAGCAACTTATGTCCAAGTGTTGGGACTCGATTTATTTGATGGCCATCAGTTAAACCAGTGTCATGTAGATGTTTATCAAAGGGGTGGAGTTAGGTAACAGCCAAGCATCTCATCAGCAAGCTGCGCCCTGTTATACGTGGTGCATCAGAGAATGTGGGATGCCACCCACGGCGCTGGGGCTCAGGGAATGCTGCACGTCCAGATACCCTAAACCAAGCCACTGCACGTGTAGCCAGAGTTCCTTTAGTATTTGCAGCCCTGCTTCACAGGGCCCCAGCAAGAGCTTACACTGCAGGCTAGGGGTAGAGAACCAGTTTATAACCTACCCCTACCTTTTCTTTTCCTGTTAAAACAACCTGTCAATGGAAATAAGAGTGAGCTAAAAAATCAATAATGCATGATAGAAACTGAACCCCAGCCAAAACATCATATAGACTGAGGCTGGATAAGAAAGTAGGCCATTGAATTTGGAA